TATATGACATTAATTAGTTTTGATTTTCTTAGAATGTCGCACACCCCAACAACTTACAATTCTGAGTTTTGAAGTTTTTTCCCAAAATTGGCCACGAGGCGCAGCAAGTTGCGGGACTAGGTGACTTGCACCATACAAAAAAAAGGGGAAACATTACACGAAATATAAAAAATCTACACAAAAATTACGACATCGAGTAAGGCACCGTAACACGGAAACCTTTTCTTCTTTTATATATATGTGTTAAAGGGAAATAATGTAACCGTTATTCTCAAATTTTATATATCTTTATATAATGTCGTATAAATTATTATTATCGATATCATTAGAAAGGATGGATTTTGTAATTAAAATTAATTATGAAATGTTCAATAATGCATTGGCTAATTCTGATAGAGGAAGTAGAAAAGACTATTATTTTTCATTAATCAAGGAAAACAAGGAGCTTTTTAAAAACGAAAAAGAATATTTAAAGGAAAAGTTTATTTATAACTTTGAATTAAGAAATGTAATAGATAAAAGGGGAAAACAAAAAGAATGTAACAAGTGTAATTCAACAAGATACTCTGATAGGTTCTGTGAAGGTTGTATTAGTTTACAATTACAGAGTCTTTTCACCACTTGGACATCTGGAAATAACATAGTTGATAACTTTATTCAACAATGTCAAATGATTTCATCTCTGCCAAACTATATTATAGAATGGGTACCTTTTGAGCAATTTAAAAAAGTAATAAAGTTGACAGAAGGTGGGTTTAGTTCAATCTATAAAGCTGAATGGACAAGAGGATATATAGATGATTACGACGAAAATAAAAAGGAATTTACTTATTTTGGAAGGCAACTAGTAGTATTAAAAAGTTTAAATGATTCAAGTAATCCAGGAAAATCATTTTTTGATGAGGTTAGTAGTTGTCATTTAAAACAAAATAAACAATACTGTAATTATATAATACTAATCGATTTTATTTAATTACAGGCAATGAATTATTGTAAAATTAAAGCACCATCAATTATTCAGTGCTATGGTATAACCAAATTCCCAAATAATGGAAATTATGCAATAATTTTAACCTATGTTCCAGAAGGAAATTTAAGGGATTATTTACAAAAAAATTTAACATTAAAAGACAGAATTACAATCTTTGACTGTTTATGCAATTCATTATATCTGATACATGAAGAAGATTTAATCCATTGTGATTTACATAGTGGTAATATACTTGTGCAAGGAGGTAATTGTTTTATTACAGATTTGGGATTATGTGGACCAGTTGATGAAAAATCATCAGATAAAGTCTATGGAATTGTATCATATGTTGCACCCGAAGTACTTAGAGGCAAAAAGAACACCAAAGAATCTGATATCTATAGTGTTGGGATGTTAATGTGGGAAATATTTGCAGGTCATCCACCATTTGATGATAGAGCTCACAATCATCGTTTGATTTTTGATATATGTGCAGAAGGTTTACGACCACCAATATTACCTGGAATGCCTGAAGATTATGCACAAATGATGCAGAGGTGTTGGGATGTGGATCCATCAAAAAGACCAACCAGTGGAGAGCTTTGGATATTTGCTGCTAATAAATTTGAAGAAATTATTAAAAATAAAAATGATGATAATGGTAATAATACTACTAGTAGTGGTGGTAGTAGTGATTCACAACAAGTATATGAATCACATCCAGGTGCATACCATACAAGTAGAATCTTAGATGAAGAGATTGCTAAATCAAAAAGCTTGAAAATTTATACAAGTAATGATAGTTCATTGAATAGTCTTGATTTTAGCTCTTTTCTCTTAAATGTTAAAGGTAAATAAAAACTCTGTTATTAATTAATTAATTGGAACTTACTATCCATTAATCATTACTGACAATATTTTATTTACATTTGATTTCATTAGATTCTAATAATTAAAAGAAAGAATCGATGGATGATTAATTTAATCTCCTAAATTATTCGTTATAATTATTTGTCTTTTTATTTTATCCATATGTGCTGATTTTGTATCGAATAGTAAAATAGTTTTTTTAGCGGAGCAAATAAATTTTTTGGGGGTTAATTATAATTCTATTGACCAGTTTACACATCATGTTTAACGTGTTTAACGTCAAGACACAATAAGATATAAGGTTTGAAAAAAGGATCCAAAAAACCAAATCGGCTGATATGTATTGAGTTTGAGTTCTTCCGAGCCATAATAATAATAAATATTATTATTAATGTTAATATTAATATGATTTTGAACACAGTTCCGCCGTATATCCTTACAAAACAAAAGCTTAATCGCGGTTAAAATTAAATCATAGTAAAAAGTATATTAATATCAAATACAAATTAATAAAATAATTCGTTTTTATGTTTATGGGAAAGTAAATATAATTTCTATTTCTTTAAATATTCTCTCTGTGCCCAAAATTATTGATTACAATCAATTGCAATTGCAATTACTATCTCGCGATCTTTCCCTGTTGTTTAAATTTGTTTCGGAATTTTGTTGCCTTGGAAAAACGTTCTCCACCTACTATATTGTTTTTAATTAGTTCTTCCCTTGAGCTATGTACGAAGGTAAGCTATGGGAACCTCCCATATTTGCTTCATGAGTATTTCGTAAGAAAAAAAAAGAGATTTTATTATTATTATATATCTTTTTCATATTCATCAAAATTTCTATCAATATGAATGTCTCTTGAAATATTCTTTCTTTTTTTTTCTCAATTCTAATGATCACTGTCACTGATGGATTTTTTTATCCAGAGTTTTTACCATTCCTCAAGAGTATAGTTTCAGGCTCTCTTACATATGATCCAATTGATTCAATGGTTTCTCTCAACCGATATCTAAATTTAACGAAAATAACGATGATGACAAAAGGTTGTATATCTCAGCAAAGATTGAAAGATAGGTGAATGTGGGTTTACACGATTGCAAAGCATAATTAAATAAGTTTAGATTCATTTGAAAATAAAAAATTTATATTGCTGATTTTTTGTATACATCTTTTTTTTAAAACCTTTTCACACTTAAATTTTTAATAATTATATTAGATTGTAGCAAAATAAAATTATATACTTCTATATTTTCTAGTATTGATGTTAGCCGGCCAAGGAATTTTTAAATGGCTTAGCCGGTTAAAAAAAATTTATCTTGACATTCATTTTTACGTCTGGAATTTTAGTGCGGAATTCAATGGCATAGACATTTAATTGAGATGGGGTCCACCTACATTACTTAGAATGACAAAAAAAATATATACATTTACCCAAAAAGCAAAATACAATTCATCATAGCAGGATAAAAGTCATAGATTTTCTATTTTCTTATTTTAATTTCGAATTGTTATTATTCGTTTTATTGAACTATTCGAATTATTCGTTCTATTCGAATTATTATTATTCGTTCTATTCGTTTTATTCAAACCATTCGAATTATTCATTCTATTCGTTCTATTCATTCTATTCGTTTTATTCGTTTATTCGAATAAAACCTTCAATGAATGTAATTCGAATACTCAAATTCATAATGAATAAAACAAATAATTGAACCATTAAAGGCGAGATATTATAATAACAATAGTAAATAATAGTAATAGTAATAACGATGGTCGTAGTAATAATAATACCGGAAAGCTTAGTACCATATGAAAAGGTTTTTTCGTCAACTGGGATTTATTAAGTTCTTAGCCGGCTAAGGTTTTTCTATCGGCTAACATCACTATTTTCTAGAACTTTGTCAATTAGAAATCTGATTATTGTTAAAAAAAACTTGGATCAGACAGCTATTATCCTGCTTATGTTCAATAGTATTCATTCTTTATGCATTTTGAAATTATGTTCAACAGTAAGTGTGAAAGGGAGTATTCACTTTCTGATGTAGTTTTCCTTGATGGATAAGCATTGTCAGGCCAGTAATGGTAAAACATTTTGAAGTTAGGCCACAATATTCGTGTAACACGTGTTTATAAGATGCTAGAGGTAGAAAGTACAAGTAGACGAAGCCTTTTATTTTTGAGAGATAAGCCAGCTGGTAAAGATATGCGTCATAAAGCATCATAAAGGGGTTAAAATCCTAACTGACTAAATAGTTTAGTCAGTTTAGCCAAAAAGTCATTTAGATTGATCCTTTTCTATTGTCCAGGGCTTATATATTAATATATTAAATATATATATTTGGTTGCCAAATTGCAGGGGTGAGAATAGAATAAAAAATGTGTTGAATGGGCACTTCCAGAAGATCCAATTTCAATGTTAAATATTTTATTTTTTTTAAAGAAAATTTTCTAATTAAAAAATTTTTTTTTGCAGACAGAATTTATTAATGCAATACAGTTAATTTGACACTAATTACTATGCCTGGATTGGATTATAATTCCCGAATTTTTTTATTTTCAAAGAATTAAAATTCTGCCCGTATAAAACGTGTAACCGCATATGGTGCCATTGTATCTATGTGATCTTTGTATTTCCCACCAATGCAAGTTATCAAATTATTTTTTTAAAAAATAACCTTTGCTCATGATTTCATACAACCGTTTTTCCCGATTTGCATATGACTTATAATAAGGTTTTTGGATACACCCCAGGAATAGTCTACCCATTAAAAGTCATTACTATTACTTAAAATTTTTCATAGACGTAGTAACTTCAGCAAAAAGCTTTACCAATTTAGGATATTTCATAAAATGCAGGGGAAATGGTGGCTGAGATAATCCGGAATCACATTGAGGTGTAACTTCAACAATCTAGATCAAAATAGCAAACAATTTCTTTTTAAGGAATGAATGAATATATATTTATTTAACTCTTTTTTAATATAACGCTTTGTTTGTTTCATCACAGGGAAAGGGAAGGATATGAGGAGATTTTGAAAAAGTTAAAAGGTGAATATGACAAACTAGTAATCACAATTAAAAAAACAACTTATTGATTGATAAGAGTTGAAAAGATTTAGATTGGGTAAAATGAAATGCATTACTTTTATTCCGAAAAAGAATGGTGTCTCCAAAAAGTATTAGCTTAAGTAGCTAACAAGGCAAGCAGTCACCATTTACTTGCTATTGGAAAATAAAAAAAATTGTTGGGTTTGCCAAGAAAAAAAAAAACTTAATTTGGAAGGTTATTGAAAGCCATGGTATTACAGAAAACGTGCTACGTCGATCATACTGTGTAAAATTCTCTTTCCCAAAGTAAAAAAGTAAAAAAAGTAATAGTAAATAGTAAACAATAGAATGCTTAAACATTTAAAAAACAAACAAATTATTTTAGCATCTGGTTCAAAAAATCGTAAAGAAATTTTATCAAGATTGGTAATTAAAATATATTTATATATATCGGAATAAGATTTATTATTACAAAATATCAATCATTACTATAATATAATCAGGGTATAAATTTCAAATCAATTACAAGCGGATTTGCTGAAGATTTGGATAAATCTAGTTTTGAAAAACCATCAGATTATGTGATTGCTAATGCTAAAAAGAAATGTTTAAATGTATACGATCGTTTATTGGTAATAATAATTGTATGATAAATATATTATATAGAATAAACAAATATAAATAAATAAATAAATATAATCGTAAATTATAATTGTATATAGAAAGAATCGCAGAAAGTAGATATAATAATATCAGCTGATACAGTTGGTTACATTGATGGTGAAATATTGGAGAAGCCAAGAGATCGTGAAGATGCATTAAGAATCTTAAAGAAACTCAATGACAGAACACACAAGATTTACACTGGTGTATCCATTCTTATTTCATCACCGTCACCATCTGCTGGGTTATCGATAAATGACCAAACAAATTATCAAATTCATGAATTTTATGAAGTTACAGAGGTTACATTTAGGAATTGTGATGATGAATGTTATTTGAATTATATTGATACGGGTGAACCTATGGACAAAGCAGGTAAAATTTACGTGAAAGAAAATCAATTGATAAATTAGTAATGATAATGCAATCAATCAATCAACTATTATTATTTTGATTGTGATAAAAAATAGGTGCATACGCTTATCAATTTTTAGGTGCATTTTTTGTTGAGAAAATAAACGGGTATAAAAATCATTTTATTTATTATTTATCTATCGATCTATCTGCACAGGTAAACTCGATAAAGTCGGTCGTTATTTATATTATAAAGTATTTTAAGCAAATTGATTGAGGGGACCGACTTATCAAAGTTTACCTGTGGATTTGTTATTATTAATTAATTAAATTATTGTTATTTTCTATAGATGTTATTATAATGTCGTTGGATTACCAATAAGAGTTTTTAGTGAATTAGAAAATCTTTTAAAGGGCAATAAATTATAAATACAATTTCTTCTACCTTCTGTCACAATAACGTAATTTCGTCCTCTCGCTTATAAATTGTATTATTATTGGTTTGTGTAACCCGAAATAAAATTAAAGTTCCCTATATAATACCAAATTTTATTTTACTAATTTTAAATAACATGTTCTTTCTGCTCCACCAATAAAACGTTTTCTTCATAAATTAATTGTTTCCAAACTAATATTTTTTGATTTAATCTTATTTTATTAGTAAATCAAATCATTTAAAAATGACTCTAATTATATTAATTAATATACAAAGTTTTTATATTTTCTTTTCCTTTTTAATTCCATTATTTTAATTTTCCAAAATTAATAATGAGTTAATTAAATATAATAAAAATTAAATTTATAATGTATCCGCAGTGAATGAGTGAAATTGATTATTATTGTAATACAATATAAAAAAGTAACTGTAAAAATAAAAGACTGGAAAAATTAGACAATTCTTTTTTTTTTTTTTGTAAATAATATATATTCATCTTCTCAAGTTTTTGGATTTATTTTCAACCCTATCGGATAAACCTTTTTGCACAAAATAATATTTAATATAAGTAAGCATAGAAATGCCTGACGACGTTCCTTCTTCTAAACGCCAACGCGTCTCAAAAGCTTGTGACTCATGTCGTCGCAAGAAAGTCAAGGTAATTTGATTTAATTAATTTTATATGAATTATGTTTTAATTTTTTTTTTTATTAAAAAGAAAATATATAAACTATGTACTCCTTATTTTTTTTATTTCAGTGCGATGGAATTCAATCAGTTTGCGGCAATTGCAAAGCCTTTAATTTGGAATGTACATACAATGATACAACAAAAAAAAGGTATTCTTTTAACCTGATGAAATAATTTATATTAATTTTATTTCAATGTGTCTTTACGTTATTCGGTGCGCATCATATGACAAAAGTGTCATTAACTTTATTTTACTATATTGTTATTTATTATTTAGAGGGCCACCAAAAGGTTACATAGAAGCAATTGAAACTAGATTACATAAAATGGAATCACTGTTAGGCGGTTTAGTTCACAGTAATGATCCTAGAGCTGAAGCAGCATTGGCTGAGTTGATGCAAGACGATTTGCATTCAACTTCATCTAATAGAAGTAATAATGTAGATTTCACAACTTATAGAAATGATTCATCATCATCAACATCATCAACATCATTAAAATCTCCATCATCTGCTGGTGATCTGAAGTCATTAACAAGAATTTTTGACAAATCATTATCATCAACTACCAACTCATCATCATCATCATCATCATCATCATCATCATCTAATCAACGAAACACTGATAGAACGACAAAGAGCGGTGATTTGATTGACGATTTAAACGAGGTCATGGGAATTCTTAGTATAGATGAGAATAATCAAATTAGATATCATGGAAGGAGTAGTGGTTTTTATTTATTAAAAAAAGGAAATAGATACAAGGATGGAATTTTATCCATTACCAGTAACAATTGGAAACACCCTGGTCAAGTTATTGCGTCGACAAATAATTTTGATTTATTAAAGAGACCTGAATTAACCGAACTACCATCTCAAGAATTATCCGATCATCTACTCGAACTTTATTTCAACAATGTACATCCTTTGATGGCCGTTATCTATAAACCAAGGTTTTTTGATCAACTGAAACAAAAAGAGCATCCACCGCTCCTACTATTAAATGCCATATACGCCTACGCTTCACAATTTTCGGATAGAATTGAAGTTAGAAGTGATCCTAACAATCATCATACTGCTGGTGATTTTTTTTTTGAACGTGCAAAAGCATTACTTGACAACGATTATGATAATGCTCGAATGACCACAATTCAAGCATTGATATTGTTATCATTAAGAGAATATGGCACAGGTAGAGTTACAAGAGCTTGGTTATATAGTGGTATGGCGTGTCGTATGTCACAAGAATTAGGTATACATAGAAATAATGAAAAATGGCATCCAATTGATTTAAAAAGAGAAGAAAAAGAAGAGCAAAGACGTGTCTTTTGGGCTTGCTTTGTTCTTGATCGGTAAGTTAAATTTATATAAAATAAACCATTTTAAAATTCATTAATTAACGCGTAAAACTTGTATAATTTATCTAAATATATAGCACAGCAAGTGCACACTTAGGAAGACCACTTGCAATCGATGAAAAGGATGTAGATGCAGCGTACCCTTCAGAAGATGAAGATGATGAAAGTGAATATCTTCCATTTAAAATGGAGCATGTTACAGTTTCATCAACTTCATCCCCAGTTTCGTCAAGTAGCAGTGCATTAGGATCACCAATAATAAATGGTCCGCAAGAACCTAGAATAAAGGCGCACACAGCCTCACGTTTTATTTATTTAATCAAATTATGTGAAATATTAGGTCGTGTTATGCAAAATGTTTACGCCATCAGGTGTAACCCTGTATCAATGACTTCCGATACAGTCCTTTCCATATTAAATTCATCACTCAATTCATGGTATTTAGCATTACCAGAGCATTTACAATACACTCCAAATTCAGATCAAGCAAAACACCCATCTACTCTTTGTTTACACATTCTGTATTACTCGGCATTAATGTTTCTTCACCGTCCATACGCCTCTTTACACAATTCATCACATGAAGTGTGCACTAAAGCTGCAACAGCAATCACAGAAATAGCCGTCGATTTGTTAAATAACAATCAGCTAAATCAAGCAGTAAATGCTATCGTATATTGTATTTTTACTGCTGGTGTTATCCACACATATAACGCTACCCAAGATGATTCAAATATTTCACGATTTTCAAAAATTCAACTTGCCCATTCTTTGAAATTATTAGAAGAATTCAAGAAAAGATGGCAGACGGCTTTTAAATATTATGAACTATTATTGGATTTGGTGGATTTAAAAGAGATTCAATTAGACCCAGAATTAACTGTTAAAAACATTTTTGGTGGCAGTGGTGGTGGTGGTGGTAATGTTGATAAAAAAAAGCGTGGTAATTCGTCATCAGAAAATCAACAAAAACCTGTTGGATTCACGGATCGCGCATGGCAATCTCGTTATCGTACATTGTACAATCAATCTAATTTATCTAACGAAAGTGATATCAACAATATGAAAATGGAGACCCAATTATCATCATCCTCATCCTCATCATCAAGCATAGTGCCTAGTTCAATAAATACAAATTTTCAAAGCGATAATATTAATAATAATAATCCAATTTTAAGCTTTAGTGATCAAATTTCAGTTCCTTCACAACAACAACAACAACAGCAACAACAACATAATCAGTTTAATTTTCATACACAAACTCAACCACAAACAACACCGCAAATACAATCACAATCACAACCACAACCACTACCTCAATTACACCATGGTCTAGCAGAATCGGCACAAATGTTTAATAATCCATTTTCATTCAAATATATTACTTCTAACACAACAAATCCACGAGATCAAAAACCTATCGGAGTGACCGATCCATATGGAGCACCGGGAATGGTTTCTTCCTCTACAAATAACACTGTTGCCACTACTACACCTAACGATTTTCAAGCGTCATTAAATACTAATACATCAACACCAAATCTTTGGGGACTTCCACACAATGCAGATTTAAATGAATGGTCCTCATATTTTGGTTCACAAGAATCCCAACATGGAAGTGGCGTCACATACACACCTACTCTGCCATCTCAACAGACACCATTACAAATTCAACAACAAGGAGGGGGAAGAGGAAGAATTTCTAATTTACCATTACAACCGCAAAGACAAATCTTATTACACAATGATGGAAGCGATGTTAATATGTATGCAAATACTCAACCATTAATCTCAAATGCTATGGGTGCAAATAACATCAATAATCATAGAGGAGGACGTGATAATAATTCGAATGGATTAGGTGGTGGCGGTAGGGGTAGGGGTGGTACTATTAATAACAATAACCATGGAGGCGGAAACGGTGTTGGTTCTAGTAGTAATAATAATTCAGTGGACAATTCTACTGAAAGGTTAATATATTATTAATTATTATTATGTCAAGTCAATTATTATTTTTTTTGGGTTTTTACAAAATAGAGAAGTGATCATTTGATTAAAATTCGGAGTTTTTTTAAAAAAACAAAATCTTTGTAATTTAGCAACGTGGCATAATATGTAATATGGGTTTATATTATATCAACCCTTTCTATGTTATTATTATATGTACTATTATTTGTACTATTATTAATTTAATATTTAATATATTTTTTTTAATTTGGCTATTATATTATTTCTTGTATAAAATTTTAATTTTTACATATTATATAATTAATTAAAACGCAATTTTGAATCGGTGTTAATAATGATGATCATGTTGATTGGAAACAACGAATCTTGCTTCGCAACTAACATTGTGAGTGCTGTGACAAAACAAATTTTTTCAAGGTTAGAACCACATACCCATCATCTTTTAATAAACCTTTTCTTTTGAAGACAATTGAAAAATAAAACAATTGAAATAAATACGGTTACAGCTCATGCCGTATTGTCGCTCGTACGTTAATATTAATACCATAAAACCGCGGCTAACACTGGCTACGTAATGCTGAAATTCAGGGATTCAAATGATGATGATGATGATTGTGATATTAATAAAAACAACAAGTTTAAAGTTGTAGATGTTGGGCACAATATGATTGAATATTAAAGAAACTTTTGTTTGAATTATTATTACATGATCCAAAATGATTGATGTAAAAGAACAACATGCATGATTCACGAGATATATAAAATTTAATAAATTAATTGAAGCCAACTAACTATACAACCAACTACCAATACTAAAAATTTTAATACACATTAAAGATAAATGATTGAGTGATATTATTATTAATAATAATTCACAAATTTAGATATTTATTTTTTAAAAAGAATTAATCCGATAAACCTCACATTCTTCTATCAAATGAACTCTACTATTATTATTTCCAAAATCAAGGTTATTTTTATAAATATTACAAAAATAAAAACAATATGGTTCATTATTGACACTATTACATAGTTTTAGGTCATAAAAATTTATAGTATTTTCATGAAAATCTATATTATCTAGACTTTCATTAATCCTTTGTTTATTATGACATATTGCAAACTTATATGAAGTGGCTCTACTTAATATTGAATTACTAAGTTGATTTTTATCAACTTTGAAAATGAAACTTTTATCTGTTTTAATTTTGTAATGTTCATCTGGAGACTTTTCTTTTATATTCCAACTAACTGGATTATAACCACCAACTAGTTCACCAATTTCTTTTATCTTCATAATAGCTATAGTTTGTTTGATATTATAACATTTATCCTCAAAAACAGACCTAGAGAATCCATCTTGGGATCCACAAAGAATTAATTCAAATTCATAAGGTATATCTTTTTCATTATATAGATCATTTTTGTAATCAATCCAACTTGAAATTAGAGATTTCATTTGTAAATTTAATAATTTTCCTGTTCTCATTTTTAATCTTGGTCCTTTTTGAAGTAATAATTTTGGCTGCCAGTCATTGTTAAGATAGCATAAAAGAATTTCATTATAAATTCCTTTATCAAAAATTTTTTTAAATGGTAAAATTTTACAAGAAAAATCAGTGGAAGAAATTTGATTGAATCTTATCAATGGAATTATATCTTTTATTACAATTTTCAACTTGATGAAATCTTCCTTCTTCCACACTGAAATATCTTTTTCCAATTCTTCATTCTGACCTATTCCCCATTGAATAACATAATTCCAAATATCTATTTCTTTTAATTCTAGATCATCCCTTTCTAAAATAGATGTAAGCATGGACTTTTCAATTTTTGTAATGTTATTAGAATCCAAAAATGATTCTGGGTCTTCGCTAATTATTTTAGCACAATGTTCTTGAAGCAAGTTAAACAATTGATGCTGTGATGAAATTTTATGAACATAAACTAAATTCTGTTGAAACCATTCTTTTTTTTTGTTAATCAAATAGTATTGCAAATCATTAATTAGCTCATCAAAGTTTAATTCATCACATGCTTCAAGAAGTTGAAGAATTTCATTTCCATCTAGATTATCTACATTAACTATTCCATTGTAAATATATCTATAAAATAAATTAAAATAAATTAAATTATTATAATCATTCAACTTATTAATTAAATTATTATTAATTGTAATTAAATTAATTCTTACATTAAAAGAACTTCAAAAACATTTGGAGAAATATTTTCTTTTTTAAATAAAATAATATTATCATCATTTTTTTTAACCCAATTATTTAATAAAGCAGCTTTAAAATATGACGATCTTGCTTTTAAAATGGTGGAATGAGCTTTAAAAGTTTTAATATCCTCGCCTACTCCAACTCTAATTTCTACATCATAAAAGTCTGGTTCATTCAACAACTTTGCTAAATCATTTACAAGTTTACTAATATACTTTAATGGTAGAGCATCCTCCTTGGTCTTAATTAGGCTGCTAAATAATAAGTTTAACTTTTCTAATGATGATGTTACTACCATTTGTGAAAATTTTTTTTATTTTTTGATGTGTTTGTATTACACAGAATAAATGGGACATACCAGACAAAAGTGAACATCGATAATATAAAAAGGTTTGAGGTGAGCCTGTATGATTTTTTCTGTAATAATTAAAACGACGAGAGTGTTTTATTTTCAATACAACGGAATTAAAATTAAATTGGTGCAGTAGAAATTGTCTAAAACACTGTATATTTCGAAGAAAGGATTTGGCTGTTTCACGAAAGTAAAAGCGTTGTATAGAAATATTCAATATTTAATGGTGAATGATGAATGCCGAATAGTCAAGTGCTCGTTTTTTTAAAACGTAATTTTTGGGGAAGGTTAAATTTCAAGGTGTTTGTTATCGGAAATGTTTTCTGAATGTCTGGATGAGAATGATCATCGCCTTTAAAAAAAAGTTTTAAATCCAACTGGAGTTGACTATGTAACTATTGCTATTGCCCGTTAGGTTGGATGCTTTGAAAGTTTTGAAGTTGAAACCAGTTCGTAAATTTCACATTTATCAAAAGAAGTTGGATGGGAAATATAAAGTTGCTTTAAAGAACAAAGAAAAAGAGTCAAAGAAAATTCTACAACAAAATTTTGGAGTGGATGGATATTTGGATATGAAATTCTGATTGGCTAATTTGAATTTCACATGTGAATAGATTCAAATAAAGATTAATTGACATAATTTAAACGTGCGTTTCCTTGAAATTTTTAGCTTTCAAATTTAATCACTAAATGAAAAAAAGAATAAATAAATCAAATATATTATATTAGCATAATGTTTTTATTTTTACTTAGTATTTAAACAGTTCAAATTATACCAATGTTTTTTAATGTCTATTGGTTTAATTGAATGGATGATTTGTTGAAGATTGGTGTACAACCTAATAAATTATAAACTATTATCAATTATCAATTATATATACACATACACACCTATACATAACAATCATCATACTTCTAAGAGAGATTTAACAGCCAATTTTATGATTTCATCTTTTGATAAACCTTCTTTATAATTTGCTTCCAAAAATTCACAGACAGTTTTTGAACTTTTCCCAATTGAATTTGCCTTTGATTTTTTTTTAAAAAAAATATTAGCAAATTTAAAAAACTCTCTTATTTAAAACATCAAAAAAGTAAGCAAAACTTGTAATATTTACCTTCCATGCTGAATATATGCCAGATGGATCAGTTTGATAAAGTCTTGGTGCCTTATCATTAGCATCAAATCCAATGATAAGTGTTGAAGTGCCAAATGGACGTACACCACCACTTTGTGTGTATCTCTAATAATCAAAATAATAATAATAATACCTAAATATTTACTCGATGTCTAATCGAGTGAGTATTTAACATATAAAAAATACTACAACCACATACCTGTTGAACACCTGCAATATACCGCGTAATATATTCAACAGTAAATCTATGACTTTGACATTCTGTTCTAGCTTTATTAATAAGAACTCTTGCATCTGCACTAAGACCTTTTACAATTCATTATGAATATATTTTATTATTAATTTATAATCCTTTATTCCCTCCAAAAAAATACAGATCAATAAATAATAATAATGATGATGACAACAACAATTCTGTACCAGCAAATGCCATGCATAAATGATCATCTAGCATGACAATTTTTCGTACAGTACACGGATCTTGTATTTAAGAACCGTTTTTTTTTTCGACTCCAAGAACAACATAATCTTCACCACAGACTCCCACCTATACAACAAATCAATTAAAATTTTAATCTATTATCAATAAACATAAAAATTTCTCATAAATGATTGAAATTCATTAAACGTAAACAATAAGAATAAATACTGCACAAGTTCCTTTTCTAACAGCTTCTAAAGCATATTTGACTTGAAATACATGTCCATCTGGTGAAAAAACAGTTAATGCTAAAAAAAAAATAATAAATTGAGTTAATTATAACCCTGCACTGAGAATTAGAGTTTAAATAAAACAAAGAAAATTTACCGCGATCATAAGAGCCAGCCATTATTTTGAAATTCTTTAAAAAACTTTTGTTGCAGATTTTAATTGATGTACAAAATGTGCAAAGCCAGGATCACGTAATTACATACAACTTCAAAGGAAACATCGAGCATTTATCCGATAGCTTTTGACTAGTTCTCTAATTTGTTGCCGAGATAATTTAACAAAATTCTTATTTTTATAAAAAACAAAATTTTAGATAGTAAATGGACAAATTCTCCCTATAAATTTTAAATATGATGTATTGTAATTTTATTTGATTTATTTAATCAATATAATTTGAAGAATTGCAATAGAGAAACAATATTTTTTAAATATTTACCAGACACATTTATTTCGCGATTGTCTTCTATCACGTGAATATATATTTTTGATCCGAGACTTAATTTTCATAAACTTACTATTACTACTCTCATTATTGAAGGATCGTCACCTAGAGGCACTACACAGAAAAAACCTTCCATTAGTGAAAATCATCTGAAATGTTAATAACATTCAAGTGAAATTGATTTATTGGATTTATTAAAAATACTGTAAGTGTATGTTTATTTTTTGCTAATCTTAGGCTGGTGGTTGTAATGAATACATCTTTAGAGATTGCATTTTACCCAGAGGACAGCCTCAAAAAATGCACTTAGATAGATGAAAGGTAGAGAGGAATAGGGAAAATTTTAAGATAACGTAACCTTTGGCCAGCTGACAAAAAAGCTTATTTGCCTGTGTAAGAAGCTCAGTCATTTTTTATGGTAAAGTTGTTAATTTCACGACAGTAGTAAGGACTAATTTCCCTAGTTTTGATTATTGTCAAAAGCATTCTTCAACAAGAGAAAATTGTTGTGCTGTTTGAATTCTTTCTTTATAACCTGATTTTGCTTCCAGCGTCCTTTGATACAAGAGATTATTGAAAATCATGGATGTAAAGTAAATTTTTCCCTAAATTTCATTGAATATTTTTGGATGCAACAAAAAAAAAATGCACGCGAAAAAATTATGACTATTCTTTAAAGGGTTAGAAAAAACTGTTTCAGTAGCTCTTGAATCAATATCTTGAGAACGCATTCGAAAGTATGCACTCTTGGCAATTCATTGATGCATATCGTAAGGATTGACCAGACCTTATGCCTTACATACTGATACGGTTAAAAAATATAAATAAACTCATGCGATTTCTGTACTTGGAAAAAAATTATTTTTATTGCATTTTTCTATTTGGTAATGTGGTACAGAAATAGTGGTTCGGCACCACACTGTAAATTATTATATAGATTGATTTCTGTTTCCTTCAGGATTTATAATAGTATAATATTTTCTTGAACAGGCATCTGAACTTCTATTTTTCATAATTTCAGAAACTTTATCCCATTTTCCACTATATATTCTAACCAAATCAACTAATTTCTTTATTTCATCACTTGACCACATTATCCTTTTACGGTCATCTGATTCAAATTTTTCATTGCCATCACCATTGCCATCATTAAAATCACTAATCTTAGCATCATTATCATCAAATTCCAAATCAATATAGTCATCATCGTCATCATCATCATAATCATCTTCATAATCATAATCATCATTGTCATCATCGCCACCACCTTTTTTCATCTTTGTTGCTCGATTTTTGATAGATTTGAATGTCCTTCCAGGAAAATATTCAGCAAGACGTCCATAATCATTTCCATATTTTTTTAATAAATCCTTTAATAAATCTCTATCTGTTTTTGACCAATTCTTACGTGTAACAGGCCAATAAATGTTTTTTTGATCATTATGACTTGGTTCTGGTAAAAATTGATGATTCAATTTGAAAAATGATATAAATTGATTTTTTGTTTTATTTTTAATTTCTTTTGATATTGTCTTCCAATCAGGTCCATATTTTTGATAAAGCTCTGTGAATTGGCCAATTTCTTCATCATTCCATATTGTATTAGTCCTTACAAAATTATGCATATTAAAAAATGGAAATATGTGTTCATGATCTAAATAAAAATTTTTAATCTCTTTGCCTGATTTCTTGTTTCCCAATTTACTTGCTATTAATTTCCAGTTATTTCCATATTTATTGTATAAATATTGAAGTTTAACTACTTTGATCAATGACCAATTTGTATTTAATGATTCATAATACCTTGTAATATAATAAAACCTTACATAACATGCTAATGGTGTTCTTTTTGGCTTAAGTTTTTGGGAAATTTCTGTAAAATCTTTACCTGAAAGCCTTAATTTAAAAAGTTGATAAATATCATCAACACCCCATTTAACCTCTAGTTTTGATTTACGTGATTTTTTAACAACATTGTGAGGATGATATTTTGTAAAATATTTGAAAACATGTTGACGTACCTCATTTGGTTTTTTATATGGAAAGCTAGGAATAATTTTATCCCAATCAAACCCATGTTCAGCTATTATATTCTTTAAGAATTTTTTATCTTCAGATGACCATTGACGTGTTCTGGGTGAATTAAAACATAAAGGTGTAAATCCTGGCAAAAGTAATGGAATTAATTGCCATCTACCATACTTTTTCACAAGTAAATTAAATGCATCTATTACTTCTTTTGATAAATGGTGTTCAGATATTGAGGTAACATCATTATTCATTTGATTCCAAGATTGATGATATTTAAATTCACATAAAATAGCCGATCTACCAGGAAGTTTACTAGATATTTTAAACCAATTTTGGCCATATTTTTCAACAAGTTCATTTAATAAATTTATTTCATGTTTTGTCCACGGAAGATGATCTTGATTTGTTGTTGTTGGTCTTATGGTGGTGGTAGAGATTGTATCTAAACTTTTTTTGCTTGATGAAGATGATGATGATGGTGATGTGAATTTTGAAATTAAATCATAATCATGTCTATATTTAAAAATTAAACTATTTAAAATATTTAAATCAACATTTGGCCATCTAATAGATGATGTGTCATGAATAGAGTTGCTTAATGAAGGAAATTTGTCTGGATTTTTCTTTACAAAAAGTTCTATTTCACTGGAACTTTTATTTGGAAAATGTTTAATAATTTTATTCCATCTACGTCCATGTATCTCAAATAAATTATTCAGGGATTTAATTTCTTCTTCCTTCCAACTTTTTTCTTTTTGATAATGTTGATAGTCTAATGGTAATAATAAATCATCATTGTTATCATTATGTTTAAAATTCTTTGTATGATGATCAGGTAATATATTTAATAGACCTGCATATTTTTTATAACATTCTACTGGTGATTTGGTAAACATATACTTGGAAACCAAATCCCAATTCTCACCAAGTTTTTCAACAAGATTTTCTAATTGTTTAACTTCCAATTTGGTCCATTCATAAGATTCTTTTTGACTATTGTTGTTATCATTGTCATTGTTATTGAAATCATCTATTAATTTAACATTGTTTTTTGATAAAGTTGAAAATTGTCTATTTGTACAATGATCATCAGGTAATGATAACAACAATACACTATTAGATAAATTTTGTCTTGTTTTATTTAAAGAAATTAATTTATTATGATTTAAAAGCTTTTTGATCATTTTTAAAATAAAAAGGATCAACTGTGTAACTAAACTTTAAATGTCACTATAGAAACACGGATTTCAGATAGTGAAAGCATTGAGCATAACAACCATTTTCATAATGTTTTTACAATATCTTATATAATATTTCATTGGTATTTGTTTATGTTTAGTGTTTTCACTATGTGAAATCTTTGTGAATTACATTTTTTTTTACCAGTTCTCTCCCCAAAATATTTATGGTTCATCAAAAAAAAGGTTATCAAGAAAATTATATGCAAAAAGTTTAGTAATAATACCACAAATTTCCTTTATAATATTACTCTTTTATTAAGGGACGCCTTGATAAAATTATTTATTTTTACTTGAGTTTTCTCAAATATTTACACAGTTTAACTTGCTGTGTGATCTCGTTAACCCTAATATTAACCTGCTTAGTGATCTCGTTGATATTAGTAAATATTGACTGGGAGTTAAAGATTCATAGAGGAATCTCGTTAACTCATATCCTTCGTGGATGATTTCTTAAGGGAGCTAGCCTGCTAAGTGATCTCGCTAGTTACTTTATTTATCGGGCACATGTCACTTGTAACCAAAAGGGGTTACAATTTTACAGGTTTGATTGTATTTTTTTTAATTACACAAAAATCACGTGAATCCATTTTTGGAGAAAAAATTGATTTGAAAATTTGGACACGTCCAATTATTTAAATTATTTTACTACTAAATCAGTTTGTAAACATCAATAATATTAGTCAAGTGTAAAAACCTTTATTGCCACAATGTCCAAAGAAATCCATGAATACTTCAGTCGTAAATCATCAGATTGGAGAATAATTG